ACTCACATAAATACAAGAGTAATTGAAGTTTCTTGAGATTTTCGAAGCATATGGTGATGTGGCTTTCATGTAATTAACACATCTTGAAGTGGAAACTAAATAATACATGATTTTTTTTTGGGAAGCAAAAATCATCCAATGGCTTCTCTCGCCTTGACTAAAAACCCCGTTCCTACTCCTGCTCCTGGAGCCGGAGTCCCGGTAACCCGTTAAGTCTTCAGCGGGCTCCGGATTGGGCATCAGCTCTACTGGGCACCTATGGTCTGAAGGCTCTTCGAGGCCCGGGCGGGACGCGCCGTTCCGTACATGATCGCTTTTAGTACCTTAGGCTTTATAATAATACCTATATATATATATAAATAATGCCAATTCCATTTTTTATCGATTGAGTCCAATGTAAAGTATCCTTTGGGATAAGGGATATAAAGCAAATTTGAGGCTTAGGTTGGACTAAATCATTACTGGAGTATTTCCGCCTATTTTTTCAGTAATCTACAGTTGTTCCTAGTATATAACAATATTGGTTACATGGTCCTCACAATATAACGGTTATTTTTTTTAAGGTGTAAATGTTTTAGTTTTAATTTTTTAATAGTCATAACAATAAAATAAATACTGGTAAAATATACTTAACTGTTATTACATAAAATATTATGTATTACTTACAACATAATAAGATCCAAAGACAAACGACGCAGACTCTCCTCTGTACACTTTACACAAATCTTCAGTACAATTTTTCGCTCCCTGAAAGCGCAGGTGTGTAGCAACAATGAAATATAACAGTTGCTCGGAGTTATACTGAAACTGAAATTAACTAAACTCAGCAGGGACTGTTAATTTCATTAGCTGGCTAACGCAGCGAGCACTTTTTGTTGGACTTATTATATTTCTCGTTTCATACGTTTTTAGAGTTCTTTGGAAAAACAAAGTTAAGTAATTTTTGGTAATCGATTGTCATAACATAACACGCCTTTTATCCCCGAAGGGGTAGGCAGAGGTGCACATTATATCACTGTACAATGTAACACCTACTTTTCACTATTTATGTTATGATTCCCATGTAATAGGGGGTGAACCTATTGGCATATACCGGGCACAATTCCAGACTCCGTGCTACTACTGAGAATATTTAAAAACCCAGTAATACTTTGCCCGACCCGGGAATCGAACCCGAGACCCCTTGCCCGGCTGTCACACTTACGACCACTCGACCAACGAGGCAGTCGATTGTCTTTTTGATGTAATGGTTGTTCTTTTTTTTGAGATGGACTGGAGTGGTTTTTAGTCTAAGAGTCTGACACTCCCGCCCGCCTCACCCAGACGGGAGCAGTCATTCGATGATATGAATTAAAAATTATCTTTTTTATATAACCGATATGGCACAAGGCTTGCGGTGTGTTTCGTCTTGTGGAGGGGGAGAAGAGGTGTGGAGACCGAAGACCCAACGGCTGATCACTTACTATTAGGTGATCCATATACACGTTGGCATCATATCCATTAAAATGCGTATTGGTCCCATTGTACTAGTTAGTAAAAGACTCATTTTTAAACCCCGGATAAACAAATAGTTTTAAACTCTAACTTCTAACATACTCTGTTGAATAGATTATAATTTGAAATTTTCAAAACATACAGTTAATGTATTTTTCACAAAACATGATATTTCACAGTAAAATGAAAAACTACAGAACCTCTCATTTCTTTTATTTTCAACATCTTAAGCTCTTAACGAACTGCAGGTAATCGTCAGGAAATAAAAAGTATTCTCTCTTTTACTTTTAAATTATTGTGCACACTCAAATTTTGTACTCCGCCATTTTTCTTTTGCAAATGTAAATTGTGATAATATTTCTCTTTTCTGGATAATTATTGTTTGACATGATAGCATAAATTTTGGAATGATATTGACATTTTCCACTGACATTTTTGCTGTAGGTACCGAAATTTTGTTGATATTATCATTAACAACATCAACAGCATATAAGTGGCCACTGCTGACCTAAGGTCTCTTCTCACACGGAGAAGGTTTGAGCATTAATCACTACACTTGCTCAATGCTGGTTGGCAATTTCAGACTTATAATTTGAAATAATATGCTTAGGTTTCCTCGCGATGTTTTCCTTCAACGTTTGTCCGTAGTGTCTAAATAATCCTAGAAAGTACAATTTAACTCGTAAAAAGTTCCATTAATAGTTGATGATAGTAGGTTTCGAACTCTCACCATGAGGATGAGGTATGAGAAGCTAGAAGAGATCTAATGTTGATATTGTTGATAATGTAAATTGGGTGAAAAATGTGGTAACTAATTAATATATTACTTTCAAGGATATGATTGCCAAGTTGATATTTACAAGATTATAGATCTGTTGTAGGTCACTTCCAATGAGCGTAGCCGAAAGTCATAAGGCGAGGTTAGGTCGGCTGTGGAAGTCTTGTAGCTGATAGGTGATGATGATGAACAGAATTACATTTTGACATTGAATTATTGCTTGTCTACATGCTATTCAATCACGCATACATAGGTAAAGAAACTCATTAGGAAGTGGTTTGGCCGTGGTGGTATGGGTACTCTATGTATAATGAAGCCAATATGGCTGAAATAACAGTAATATACTAAAGTTCACGTCAAACCTTACTCAGATGACATTACACAATTCGAAAGGGAACTCATTTGTGTTCAACTGACTTCGAAAAGTGAAGGATGGTATTTTTCTATATCAACATAGCTAATATTCCGGCTGATGGAAAGCCTAGGCAGAAAGATGGCCTATCAGCAACACCAAGAAGCGAGGAGTGCGCTTTGCAGATCCTATAATAATCTAGGAAGTTTTCTGATAAATAGAGACTACACCAATGAACTGCGAATGAGTCTAGATGCTGTACTTTAAGATTTTTCTTAATTATGAAATTACTCTTAGTAGGTATCAATTTTAATTAAAGGGATTCGCTTTTATGCTTGTATTTTTAGGTCAAACGGTAAATACAATTTTATTAATTGTAGTTCCTTGCAAAACTAAACTTTTCATAGTAGTTAGTTTTATATCAACTAAAAATTGCGGGTTACTCACGTAAAAGTACTGAGAAAAGTCCAACTAGTAAGCTGTGCGACATTTCCGTGACCACGTACGCTGCTCATGAGGAAGAACCCCTCTGTTGTTCGAAACTAGTAGAGCTTTTCTCGATATTTTCACGTGAGTTACCCGCGATTTTTGGTTTAGTTAGTATCTCTTACTATAGTTATTATAAAAACATAGTCTTTATTTTCCCAAGGGCAAAGTCCCTATTGTGAAGTGAAATTCATTGAAACAAAACGAATGTCTTTATTAGACTTGTAACCACATTTTCTCGTTGATTAATAGAAAATGGATTCTAGGAAATACTCTTGTAAAATTTAACGAGTTACTGGAATTAATGGATGTACCCATATCGATCCAGGCGGTTTCTCATACAATTTTGAGTACAATACATTGTAAGTCACAAAATTGGGTCAAATACAGAAATTCCGCTACCAAGTCAAAGCTTTATCTGCATTTGAAAAACTCTCAAAGTTATAATATTTTCTTTATAAACTTTCACGATGGAATGACTCCAAATTTCACATGCCACATATCGTACCTTTCATACAAAACCGTATTCAGTTCACCTTACCGCAAAGAAAACTTCGGTCTTCTAGAAAAGTTTAAGGTTTTAAAATAACGGCGTACAATGGCGTACTATTTTATTTGAAGCTACGCCACGTCGCTGAGTTCAATCATCACATGTATGGTCTCCGAGGGGGAGGGGAGGGAGGAGGAAAGAGTTTGAATTACCACACTTACCTCACGGGATTACTGAGGACCGCTACTATGTGTTTCGAATAAGTTGTGCTAACATTATAATGAAAAAAAGAAAGAAAATAAAAAACTTTGTTTCTCACACTAAAAACAGGTGGCATGTACAGATTCTACGCGTTTAGTTTATAAATTTTAATTGGTACATATTTATGTCCCAAGTCTGCGGCGAAATGGGACCAGTTCAGCATGTGCAATACAGGGCCTTGCACTGGTATGCTACTGGCTCCTTATAGGTTGGGGTTTGTAACAAAATAAAAAGACGCGACTGTGACTCCTCTGGTGTTGCGGGTGTCCATCTGATTGCTTACCATCAGGTGATACGTTTGCTCGTTTGCCTTATATTCCATAAAAAAAAAAAACGTATGCCATGTGCTTCTAATTACATCTACGTTGTTTCTATTTTGTACAAAAATAAATTTGATAGCATTTAACACATTCATCATCATCACCATGTGAGCCTGCTAGCTGCCTCCCATTAGTACCTATATATTGGAATATTATCCCCTAAATTTGTTCATACAAAAGTAGTCTCTAAACATCGGAAATAAGGTCTATAATGTAGTTAGTGGAGAGCGGTCACCGGTGACCGCTTGGGTATAAATGGATTTTTGATTAATAGATTATTCTAAATTCAAGCCGAGTGACATTCACACGGGTCACAATCATTTTGGTTATTTTAGTATTCATCTTTCAGATAAAAAATCCGTACAATAAATATAGGTAATATAAAGAAATTTATTTCCAATGCATTTCTTTGAAGGGAGGTAAAAACAAAACAACGTTCCCGTTCACTACTGAAGTAAATCCGCTTGAAATGTTTCTTTTTCTCACAAAGGTGGATTCGAAAATTCATAGTAAGTCAAAGCAGAATACAGTCGGTGAGAATTTTAACTCGGCTATAAACGTTCCGTGGCAATGATCGTAAAGCATTTTCACGGTATTGCACACCTAACACTGATCCAGATCAAACTGGTCTGAATCGGTTCAGACCAGTTGAAAGCGGTTCAAAGCGGTTCCGGGTAACTGCCGAGTATTTAAATGGTTTTCGAGCGTGAAGTCACGTTCAAAATCAGTTTAGTTTTCGCATATTTTACTTTAGTTTCAAACTTTAGTAGTATATTTATTGGCTTTGGTTAAAAAGGTTATTTAAGTGTTCATGTTATTCTAGTAGTTGGATCCACTGAGCATACATTCCAGCTTCCATATTACTAATTCCATTTGATACTGTTTTTGTATAATTGTTCCTTTAAAATCGTAAGGAATATTGGCTTGAATCTCGGTGTTGGACTGAATGTAATTTAAATTTTCCATTTCTGAAGTTAGAAATATTATTTTCGATGCATTTTTGACTGTCGTTAAGTAACTTTAATCAATAAATAAAATACTATTCCATACAAGCATCATTTATTTGTTTTATTTAGGTGACGTTTTAGAACACATTTGTTTAATTCTAAAAGTGCTTGAGCGTGCAGTAAATAAGTGTAAAGATATTAAATAGAAAGAAAGAAAGAAAAAACTTTATTTCACGCCAAAAACAAGTGACATGTACAGATAATTGATTCTATTAGCAAGAACTGATGGTTACATGTTCATGTCCCAGGTTTGGTGAAATGGGACCAGTTCAGCATGTGCAAGACAGGGCCTTACGCTGGTATTCTACTGGCCCCTTAAGTGGCTCTATATGCCATAAAAATTTATTAGTGGTCCACTGTTTTAAGAACTGCGAATGTTTGATAGCTTGCTTTGAATACCTGAAAAAGTATTAAGATGTTAGTGTTTGCAGTATTGATTTATCAAAAAATTAAAAGAATTACACAAAAGAATAAAAAGCCAATGTGACATATGCCAATACACACAGCGCCATCTATACCAATACTTTTGTTTTTCCTCGGCAATATCAAAATTTTCAGGGATAAAAAGTACCCTATTATTTAATCCGGACTTCTAACTTTACGTCTGCAAAATTTCAAAGCAATCGGTTTAGTAGTTACGGCGTTAAAGTGGAACAAACAAACAAACTCACTTTCCGATTTATAATATATAAGTAAGGATTTTATAAGTTTCTTATCATCATCGGTAAATAATGATATTTACAATATAATGTACCTCCACTTGCCTCTTCTGAGATTAATAAAGACGTGACGGTTTTTTTTTATAGTATGTAACTGAGATTATTTATTTAAATGTTACTATAAATAAGATCATAACATAATAATAAAACAAACACTAAAAATTATATTCAAACTTACCGAACTCATCGTAACCAGAGACAAGTCGTATCCCAAAGCAGTTTTGATTTTAAACTCCTTGTTCATATAACTCACCATAATCAAATAATTCTTCTTGTCCTTGGTTCGCATGTTTGGCCAATCAAATTCTGAGAGAGCCAAGATTAATGCTGTTCCCTATTAAATAGAATAGAATAGTTTATTTATTAGTATAAAATTTAACTACATATTTTGTAGAATTTTTTTTAAGGGGGGAAAATCATCGAATGACTGCTCCTACTTGGGTGAGGCGGGAGGGAGTGTCAGATTCTTACTGACTAAAAACCACCCCGTTCCTTCTCCTGCACGTCGAGCCGGAGCTCCGGTTACCCGTTACGTTCTCCGCGACTCCGAACATTTGTAGTATTTAGTGATCAGTTATAGTGAAAGCAAGTAATTGATTTATTTTTAAAGCGTTTGTTATAACTATAAGAAAGTAATTGAACTACGGAAAAATAATTTAAAATATAATTTGTATATTATTATTTACAGCACTTGGTATTAAGAACTCACCTTATCTTTGACTTGATCACCGAACCAGTTGTAGGCAAACAGTTCTGTTGTTGTAGGAATTAAGTTTGATAAAAACATCCAGTGCACTTCCTATAAAAATAAACAAACATTAACAAGGCATGTCAGAAGCGTAATGGACTATTGTTGCTTCCTTATTGTTCCTTGCAATAAGGGTGCATTAAAAAAACTAGACTCCATTCAGGCCAAATGCCTTAGAATAATTATCGGAGCTATGAAATCATCCCCCATAAATGCTCTTCAGGTTGAATGTGTAGAGCCTCCCCTCAACCTTCGAAGACAATACCTTGCAGACCGATTCATCTCAAAAGTCCTCTCCCTCTCATCACATCCCCTTCTTCCTATCCTAGAACAAATCCACTGTTCCTATAGCTCCTCTTCCTACTGGAACAATAAACCTGTCCCTCCCGTGATTGTCAGGTACAGGGAGCTTAAAAACCTCTCTGCACCCATCAGGCAATATCCTGTACTCCCGGTCTTCTCTTCCGCATATGAGGCTATCCACTTCAGGCCAAAGCTGATTCTGGGGCTCGGCATCTCGAAATCCTCCGTGGATGCTACGGGCGAGTTCGGACGCGCCTTGAGCAAATACTGGAGAGGCTGGAATATTTTTTACACAGATGCGTCTAAACTATCTCGAAACGGAAGTACAGGAGTGGCAGCGTACTTCCAAAATTCGAAGATCGCCCTCCTCTCTAAGTGTCCCCCGGAAGCATCTGTCTACACGGGAGAATGCGTTGGCATTTTAGAATCAGTAAAGTTTATTAGAGCACACAACCTAAAAAACTCTGTTATTATTTCAGACTCCCGAAGTAGCCTACAGTCTCTCAACCAAGACCAGCTCCATTCCCGTACTCATAGCAGTTTGGTTGTAGAGATAAAGGCGCTTCTTTTCTCTTGTTACAAGGATGGCATAAACATCGAGATCGCTTGGATTCCTGGCCACTCTGGCATATGTGGTAACGAGTGTGCGGATTCATTGGCCAAATTTGCGGCCTCGAACGATGTCGATCGTCAGCACCACGTTGTGTACGGATATGATATGCGTGCAGACACAAAGCACAAGCTGTTTGACTCATGGAATGCAGTGTGGGTAGAAACGTCACAACACAAAGGAGCCTACTATGCAGCTGTCCAGCCCGGCATCCGACGGAAGCCTTGGTTTTCCAAGTACCCCAAGCTTCCCCGTCATACTGTTTCATCCTTGTGCAGGCTCAGACTCGGCCATTGCAGTAGTCCGGTCTTCCTCAGCAAGATCCGCGTCCGCGACAGCTCGCTGTGCGAATGCGGCCTTGATGAGGGTACTTTAGATCACATCTTTTTTTCGTGTCCCTTAAATTCCCAATCCTTTGACCTCTATAAAAAACTTCCCAGAATCCAAATCCCTCTCCCAATCAGTTTCCACCTGCTTTTAACCCACTTTTCCCACAAATTAATTAATTTTTTATGTAAATTTATAAATGAAAATGAAATTAAAATATGACGGTGTTCAATGTTGTAAATGATGTACATATATTATATCTGTCTGTGTTGTGTATGTCCCTCAACTATTTTTTACACCACTGTATATATACAATAAAATAGTTGATAATGTCTATGTTTACTAACCCGATTGTTTTGTCATTTCAGCTACTAACCACTAAAAACTACCGCAAAGTTAAGTTCGACGGTTCATTAATTTTGCCGTCACCACTCGACACTGGCAGTATAGTCGACAACTCCGTTTTGGAGACTCAGTTGCCAAAGAAGAAAAAAAAAAAAAAAAACAATTAAAAAGTTGTCAAATTTTTTTTTTGAGGGTGGAATATAGTCCAGTTACCTACTTCTCTCGCGTTGTATTACGTATTAGGCGAGAGTGAGTGTCACACTCTTACTGACTAAAAACCACTCCTTTCCTACTTCTACTCTTCGAGCCGGAGCCCCGGCAATACGTTAGGCCCTCCGCGGCTCCGTAAAGTTATCAAATCTACATACCACACTCATACAGAGTAATATGAGACAGAATGCGAGCAGGATTCCCAATATTGGTATAATTGATGGCCACTTGTATGTTTCACTGAGGATATATAAAAACCTGCAAACAACGAAAACTTATTAGAAAACTTAAAGACATTATTATCTCTCAGATATTAGTTAGTCTAGTAATACTTTGTTTTTCTATGCCAAACGTAAATTTGAACATGTTACAATTAAAGTTTACGAAACGTACTCCATAATTTTGGAATGATTTTGATAAAATATTCTAAGAGCATCGTTCAGACGATCCATGTATTGCTCATCGGTTTCATCAGGCCTCTTGCCCTCAATCTTCAGTCTATTTATAGTACTGTCAATAGCCGTGCAGAATGAAAACATTAGTACCACAAACCAAAGGTCTATCACACAATATGTGAAAGCCATTTCAAACAGAAATACAGTATGTATAGCTAAACCAAGCTCGTAGTACGGACTCGTCATCGGCATCAATATCGTCGTGGTCTTTGACAAAGTTACTCTCGTCCCCTGAGCGTAATTCCACATTGCAACCATGAAATAAACCGAAATCGACCAAAATATAGTTCCGAACAAAATTTTGACTGCCAACTTTATTTTCGCAAACAATTCCTCTAACTTCTCATTGGAATCACTTTTTATCATGTCCAGTAAGGTCGTTTTTGCCATTACGTACAGTCGTTGTAGGTAAAGCGATTCTGTATGAATAGCAAATACTTTATCGGGAAAAATAAGATGATTATAAGTGTGTAGTATGCTTCGCCAATATCATTGATATCCGTCGCATCCTTCAGGTAGTCCTGAGTCCCCAAAATCACATAAACGAGTAAGAAGACGATAAAAAATTGTTGTGGAATTCTAGTCGTCCATGTCCATTTTGGATTTAAGACATTATGCCCGAGGATATCTTGGATAAAGAGTGGCACTATGACTAGTTTGTCAACTTCATTCCTTTCTCCTATAGTCTTGGTATACTGTTCTATCGTTTTCTCGGAAAATATTTTCATTTTCGCAAAAACGAGTTAACGTACGCTACGGTTAAGAATTGTGATTCTACTCGCTGTAGAAGTACTGTCGCCGCGTGAAGTGAAATGAAATATATTATTTGAGAACGTAAGCTTGGATCTTTGAAGTATGTATGTATGTATATGATATGTGGTGTGTAGAAGACTCGCAATATTATATTTCGTGTTCCGGGTATTCAGGTGTCACATTCTTTTTCTAACACAGAACATTTTTTTACATTTGAGGTGACTGCATTATTTCAATGAGCGGTGAAATACTGTGAAATATATTTTAATGTTCGTCAAAACACAGTCATACAATATAATTATATAACATGTGCGTTGAAATTGTGTTTAGTCTTTAAGGATGAGACTTAGTAACAGAAATGGTGAAAACGGAGGTGATAAAATATTTGGACTAGGTAGTTTTTCCGGAACGATATATAGAGGTACTTTCAAATAGATTTCAGATTATTTCATCATTGTCCTGTTCAGACCTAATCTTCCAAGCTACACTTTTCATACTATAATTCTTTCATAAACTACGTATGAAAAAACCGACTTCAACCTCCTTTTTTGAAGTTGGTTAATTAATGTACCTTTAGGTACTAAAACTTTCTCCTAACACTTTTCTGAAACAGTTTTCAGAAAAGTGTTAGGAGAAAATTCAATTTTTTTTTCATTCAAAGAAAGTCAAAATCGGATCAGCCAATTGCGAGATAATCCACACACGTCAAAATAAATTGTCAAGTTGGTTAATAAATTACTAGATGGTTCCACCTCTGCAAATAACAGTACCACAGATAACTACTAGCGTCATTATTCAATCGAGCTAATTAATCTTTTGCCGCCTTTATTCTGTAACGTACCCGTTCTATGCAATTTCAAACAGTTAGTAATAATCGCAATCCTGACGTAATATATAGAAGATTAACAAAAGAATTTACACCGTATACCCTTCGTGTTAAGGTACATTTTATGTAGCTTTTATACGAATTTCACACTTACTTATAGCGAATCAAAAGCCATTTCTGTAATTAGGCAGGCAACTTCAAAATTGTGCAATAATAGTTTCTTCTTAGTAATAAAATAGCCATTAAAAGCAGGATTTATGGCCGTGAGGCGCAGTACTGAATTTTCTATTTTGTAATTACTTAAATTTCGATATTAGAGTCATTTATTTAATTTTAGTATAAGTGAAATTTATAAGGAATCGTAAACTATGCATGGCGCATGCTATCCTTAATAAATTAAAGTTAATAATTTAAATCTTTGTGTAGGTAGAAAGAGAGAAGGAATTGTATACAAATCCTTTGCTTAAAACCGTTTTATCTAAGTATTGTTTTCTTCTACGACAATATTATAATATTTTTCCATTATCTAACTGACGGACTACTTACATTTAATTAACTTTCATACACTGTCAACTACCCTATTGATAAGTAGACTGAATGTTGTTGTTTATAAACTTCAGGTTTATCAAAAATATTTTAACTCGATTTCCTTCAAAAATAAATAATTATACACTTCAATAATTACCGAAAATCAGGCCTTAGTTTTTTACACGATTAAGCGCAGTCATGACACGCAAAAGGGAGCTGATTGCGACATTTTACAATCGGTCGCATGCTGTGCATTGCGTGCTAATTAAGAAAGCCCATAAAACTTTTAAAATGACTATGACGTCACGAAACAATCGTTAAAGCTTATAATTAAAAATAAGTTTCAGTTTTAGATTTTAAGAGGTTCTTATGTAAGTTTATAATAATGGTTTATAAGTAGTGGATATAAGGTTGCTATTTCGTTGCAACCTAATATCATGATCGTTTGAGTTCTTTTTATTTTTATGGAGTAAGTATATAAATTATGTTTACAATTTGTTAGTGAAAGAGGCCAAGCTTTAAGTGTACGATTTTCGCTATTTTATTATTGACGAACAATATTTTTATAGTTATGTCTACTGGGAGTCAATGACCGACATTGAATAGGTACACTTTAAACACGTTTACTGGTGATGGTCGGGTTGATCCTCAGCTGGACAAAGATTTGATAGGGTTCTGAAAAGGTTTACTACCTAGAATAAGACTTAGAGGGCGCCCTAGACGGACATATCATATACAGAATAGATTGTGCGGTACATAAAAAAGAGCCAAATTAAAAGTATCCTTAACCGATGAGCATGCATGAAAAGATTGATGACTTGATGAAGCGAAAGAGGTATGTAGGAATCGTAGCAATTGGCGTTCCATAGTCTCTACCTACCCCCATGGGTCACAGACGTGAAGTTATGTATGCATGTATGTATGTGATAACAAGACTTAATAAATAATAATACATAGTATAATATAAACTAAAGTAAATACAACGAGACTTCATGATACGCCAATAATTATTTGCCAGAGTCTGTGTTTTCTGAAGAGGGTGTCTTCCTGGGTTTTTCAAGGCCCGAGTGAATAGGTTGCTTATGGGCAGACGTGCTCCGTTGTAGACCACATCATCGCTTATCACCAAGCGAGATAGTCGCCAAACATAGGCCGATAAAATATGAAAAAAAAATCAATTAAGAATTAAACTACAGCGAAAACTAACCAGTGGAGACCACGGACCGGAAGACGAAGCGTGGGCAGGCCTCCCGCTAGGTGGACCGACGATATCGCCAGAGTTGCGGGGAGCCAATGGATGCGGGTGGCGAGTTGTCGTTCGACGTGGAGGGCTAAGGGGGAGGCCTTTGTCCAGCAGTGGACGTCTTCCGGCTGTTGATGATGATGATGATGATGAAACCAACCATAATACTTTTATATTAAAGCTTTTAAAGGAACCAATGGCTACTAGTTTTAATCTAAAATAACCAAAGAGTTAGTTTACCTACCTATACATTATATCTAGAAAATAGTCATAAATGTGCAGTTTATGAGTGGCTGGCGTGCAACACAATTTCATTACTAGAACTTTTATAGTGTCATTATGTTATAATACGGGGTTCTACTAACATTACTCGTTGGAAGTTTTGTTCTATCGTTATGATGAAATAGAGCCTGGGTTCTGTATGTCAGTGTAAAGAAAATATTACGTATTAATATAACTTACATTTTTGTTTTATTCGCGTATAAACTTCACTTGGGCGATGTAGGATTTGTGGTGTACTCGCTAGATTTTTATTCATCAACAGCCTATAAATGCCCACTGCTGAGCAAAGCCTCTTCTCACACGAAGAAGGTTTGAGCATTAATCACCACGCATGCTCAATGCGGGTTGGCGATTACAAACTTCTAATTAAAAATTATAAGCCCAGGCTTCCTCACGATGTTTTCCTTCACCGTTTGTCAATGGTGTCTGAATAATCTTAAAAGTACATATAACTCGGAAAAAGTCACATTGGTACTTGCCGCTGGTAGGTTTCGAACCCGCACCCTCATGCATGAGAAGCGGCCGTCTTAAACCTCCGGGCCACCACGACGTTCTATTTTAGATACGTTAGAGTTTTATTACCGGTCCTTTATGTGTGTTGTCATCGTCACATCTTCAAAGCAATTATCAGCGGTATATCTGAATATGAATCGCACAGTTTTTAAGTAATAGTAAAGTAGTGTTTATTCATCTTCAAGCTGTCGGGCATGCGAGACCATGGGAAACTATAGGAAAGCAATGCTTTTGTTTAGCAAAGGACATATTTCGATTAACGAAAATTAATAAAACTACCTAAACTATTATGACATACTCTATAACAAAATTGACAACACAGACTATGAATTCCATTTATTACTCCATAATATACAGCAACATTGTTGTACATAGACGGAATACAGTGCCTTCCCTAGTGTTATATACTAGTGGTCACTACTCCCGGTCTGTTTACCACCGCCATATACTTAATCGCTGCTCCTATTAAAGCAGACCTTTCAATTATGACTGCACTAAACCTAACTACTAAACTCAAGCACCGTTGAACACTTATTAAAACTTTTATTATTTTATTTACGACAAGGAATTGTAGACTTTAAGTCTACATAGTAAGTCTTGTATTGCTAAATTTATTGTAGTATGTTTAAGGTTGGTTTTTGATTAAAATGGTCAATCATAATAATTGTGTTATTGTAACTTCGTCGTTGTTTTTTTTTTTCAAAAGTTTGGTATATTTTTATAATAACTATCGTGAGACATACTAAATTAAGCAAAAACGCGGGTTACTCACGTGATTATAGTGAGAAAAGCTCTACTAGTTTCAAACCACAGAGGGGTTCTTCCTCATGAGCAGCGTGCGCGGTCGCGGCTACGTCGCTCACTAAGTGAGCTGAGTAAGTTGAGTGAGCTGTGCGACGTAGCTGCGTTTTTACTTAAGTTTGGTATAATGATGCTTTTTATATTTTTAACCGACTTCAAAAAAAGAAGGAGGTTCTCAGTTACACCTGTCTTTATGTATGTGCGCGATTATCTCGCGATTGGTTAAGCCGATTTTGATGCGATTTTTAGAAAAGTGTTAGTTACACTCTTAAGAGAATGTTTTAATATAATAATAATTAACCGACTTAAAAAAAGGCGTTTGATGTAAATTTTTATAAACATAGTTTAACATACTCATTTTACAATTATTCGAAATATTCTACTAATCGGTACACACGGCTACACATCGAGCTTTACATAACCAATATAAACTGAACGTTAAATGTGCGGAAAGATGATGCGACGCGACACCAGGATAAACTGGTTTTGTATAGATTGATGTGTGGCCGTGTGTACCATCTTGCTGCTTTATCAAATCCGAGAATGTAAACCGAAAACATTTACTATACTAAATCAGTTTTCAAAAATTACTCACAATGAGGAGATATGTGAGACTGAAGAACCAATTAGTTAGGATAATATCTTGCTCAGCCACTTTACAGTCTCTATTCACCTCCATGGGACAAAGACGTGTGTTTATGCATCTGTATGTGAAGCAACAACGTGTCAGTTAATCAAGTTCAAAAGAAACCTATAAGTTTTTAACATAACTTTAATTTTATAACTTTAATTTCTAAACCTGATCTGACCTTAATAAAATTGTAATAATTAAATTAAAACTACATCAT